AAAGGCTAACCTTTGACAGAAATCCAATTGAATTTGCACCCCGGTTTTAAGGTGTTATTTCTCCAAAGCAGGGTTGCTTAGACTGAAGCCATCATCCGGTACCAGTAGACATGGTGCTTAGCACCTTGCAGACAGTGTCCCAATCTCCTGGGTGCAAGTGAGCCACGTTCATTAGGAAAATGCACAATATAGAACACATTCACAACTCACATAACCTATGTACACCCTGCAGACTGGCGGCTCTGCAGTTCCTTCCTAAACAGAGCACACTTTTTGCTTCCCGAGCTTTACAAACCAGACAGAGGAACCCTGGCGGCAGACAGCCTAAAGGTTCAGATCAGGTTGCTGGCAGGCGAGCTTTATGGCACTCCCATACCAACCAGTCATCCACTGATGACATTCTCTCTCCCGCGTTTTTCACAATTTGGTTTCAGATTTTAGTCTTCATGCCTGGCCTTGAGCATGCGGAAGGCTGTGAGCTCGTCACGAATTTTAGCTGGAATGGGGTGTCAGACCAAAAAAGCAATGGGAATGGGTGAGTTGGGTTGGGGAAATGGCACGAAGCTGGCAAGGTAGCAGCAATTGCAAGCATGGGTAGTGTTCCACACGGATGGGAGAACATTTCGTCGGTAATCCTACCACTCTCGTAGTTCCTTACGGTTCATGCCCATACCTGCATCATTGAACCGCTCCTCTTCTATGGCCTTCTGCATGTCTTGACGCAGTCTGAACTCCGCTGTAAGGTCTTGCAGCACCATGCTTGACGCATCAGGCCTGCAATCAGCAACGATGTATCAAATGCATTACTCAGTTGGTGTACCAATACCGTTTTCCACAAATACTTTCAATGCGATGCAGGCTCTCAGCATAAATGAAGGAGAGCAAATGCCCAGGATGCTGCACAGCATGGTTCGTTCCTCTGCGCTTCCCAACGTTGCAATTGCAACGCCATCCGGCAACAGACTGACTCACATGTCCTCCTCTGTGGGAGCAAAGTTGCGCCGGCGAACTGTCCGACCAGAACGGGGTGCTGGCTGAGGCGCGGTGCTGATGACTCTCACGCCATCTCCAACTGCCAGAGCCCTGTTTACCTGAATGGGAACCTGGATATTGTCGAGCAAAGCAAGGAGGATGCAAAAGATTATGGGTTGACAGTGCTGCTACGCGAGCTCCTCCAGGTGAGCTGCAAAATGGAAAACAGCCATGCATAAACGCAAGTACAGTAATCACACTTTCGCTATTACAGTTGCTACAAGAAACGAAATGGCGTACCCTTGCTCTGATTGCCAGGTTGATAGCATCAGATGGCCTCAGGTCGAGGCTGAAAACCGTTCCTCCACCTTCGCCAACCTGTCGGTTTTGATCGTTTGAAACACACAGCAAGAACAGGGGGACGCATCACATTATGCAAAGAGCACTTTAAGTTGAATTCACATCACAGTGTGGCAGAGAGAAGGGATTCTCCGAAATGGGTGCTTGGTGGTCCGAGAGATTACCTTCTCGAGGTAAATTCGGGCATAGTACGCCTCGCACACACGGTGAGTGACGCGGACCAGCTTCACCTGTAACAGGGCAACACGGAACACGTCACTTCAGCTTCATCAGTGTCGAGAAGAAATTTAACAAAATCGTGCTGATTAAACTTTTTATTATTATTATTGTTTCAGCTGATGTTGCACGGATTCGCCTGAAACCGTACCTTGTATCCCATCATGTCAATCATGTCCCTCATAACCAGGTACACCGTTGGCCTAGCCTGAACACATGATCGAAGGAAATCAACGTCAGAGAAGTCACAGTGTCATGATTGTTAACGACGAATGCTTCTCGATGTGTGTGAAAGTCCACAAGTACTCACGAGTGGGACATTTCGGATGGCCTCTTGGGCCAGTTGGCTTGGCAGGTCCACTGCAAAGAAAGCAACGGAAAAAAATCAGGAGCTGAGAAAGATAAGTGACACAAGCATTTCATACCACTCACAAAGAGCAGTGCTAGAATCCACTTACAGACGATTATTGGAAGAAGAATGCCGCTTCCGTCCTCGAGCTTTAGGACAATGGCCGGCTGAGCCGTGTAATCAGGGAGCCTTGCGCCATCGGGGTTGGTGTGAGCACATTTGAGAAGAGAGCCGTCGGACATCTTGACGACGAAACCATCCACGTTGCTTTTCACTTCATCTGCACGATAAACCAAGCAAGGAAGCAAGTAATCCACCATCAAGAAAAGCAGGTCAAATATGTAAGAACAAATGTTTTTGTCAATGTAATTGTCCAGCCTACGCGTCAACTATTAAGAATTGAGCAATTTTTGCTTAGACCTAGGGGCATGCGCTAGCCAGACATACGTTAGCGGGACCATTGTTTGAACTTACTTGCTTCGACGACAGTGGCAAGGGCGTACTCCATGTCATCCTCTTGAAACCCCTCAGACATTTTGCCCTTGAAAAATTCCATAGTGGCCTCGATCTTGCCGGGCATGAATCTTTCCACAACCCTAGAAGAGCCTCTTCTTGCGGCCTTTGACGCAAGCTGGTTGCCGAGCATAGATTGCTGCTTCCATGGCGTCACAGAGACCCCGTTAAAAGCAGACTCGAGTTTCGCCGAGGAGCAATTCGAGATGCCACTTGCGTGAGCGGCTACGCGGGGGACTGATGCAGATATGGCCGCCATGACTGCGTTTTCTTGCACAGCTTGGTTCATACCCTTCACGAAAGCAGTTCTACTGCAGTGGCCTTTGTGTCACCACAGCCACAACTGCGTTGGAGCAACGAAGGGAGGAGCCAGCTGACTGCAGTGCGTCAATTCTCACGGACAGTGGATTTTACCGAATGAATTATCCGTCATTGCTCAACTGCCTGGCCTATATGAGTCGGTTGACGCCATGAGAAAGGCTTTCAGCAGACTAAGTTGTGCTGCCTGAGGCTCATGGACTGAAGTCAGTAGTGGTTGGGAAAGTGCGCCAAACTACCACTCATTCCAGTGTCCCAAACAAACCCTCCTCCATCTCAATCGATCCATTCGCATCCCTTTGCAACCACTTCCCATAGCGCCCCATCCTCTCATCCACGAAGAATGCATCTCATCCGGCAAGCTGCGAGCAATTTGGATATGGTAACCAGCAGGAACTTGATCTGGTGATGCATGAGGATAAAGTGTTGACGAAAGCTGATAAACAGTTCGCGAAGCTAGTGCTGGTGTCGCAAAAGCAGAGCACTTCATCATATCCACACTGCGGTTGTCCCGTCACTCTCCATGCGCCTCGGTTTCGTTAGAGGAGGAATTGACAAGATCCTTGAACTGACTTGATGAGAGAGTCATCCATAACCAGCACCAATCGCAAGCTTGTCTGTGGCTTGTGTGAGTCACTCGAGATGTCCCTCCAATCACAGGTCGTCAATTCTTCAAAGGACATCAAAAGACACCCTGGCATCTGCTCAACATGACTGGCAGTTCCGCGGTCAACTTCCGCCTCGGCTCACCCCTGATCTTATTGGACAAACTTGAGTGGTGCGAATGTCTGGGCGCGTTCGTGTGGGGGAATCCTCGGCAATTTGACGAGGGATGAGGGCCACAGATGACTTGTGATGAGTCACTGCTTCAGCATCGATGGTTGCTGTTTCGCGTCGGACCCAGAGGTTGACACGTGGTACACGTAGCGCCGATGCAAGAGAATTCTACTGTCCAATCATTGACCTCAAAATTATCCTCGTTTCAGCATGCTTCACTTTCGAATTGTGGGCATGTCTGGAATGTAATGACATATGTCTTCTCTCATGATATGGTGGTTATCACGGAGCATTATAAGCCGTTACAAACCAGCTCTGTCAAAAGAACTGGGGAAACAATATTAGCGGCACAAGATTTACCTACAATACATACTTAGCAAGGCGGCAAATCACACGGCCACCTGCCCACCAGTTTCCTCTCACCTACACTCTGCTCATTCCTAACAAGGTGCATGTTCCACAGGAAGTGCGTGCACCCTTAAGCATCAACACTCAGCTTATAAGCATGATCGAATTGGGATCAGACCCAAATCGACCTACCCAACCTAGCCGTTCAGCACTCAAGGTGAGTCCCTTGATAAGGCTTCTCTTAATATTAAAAGCCTGATTTCTTTGAAGAACCTTGAGTCTCCTGAAATCCGAATGTGTGGTCCAAGCAGCCTGCCACAATACATACACACGCCCCAACCACACCCAGCCAAATCCAGCCAGACCCAGCCACACCCACTCAGCCACACCCAGCCAGACGGAGGCACAACCAGCCACCCCCAGCCAGGCCCAGTCAAACTCAGCCAGGCCCAGTCAAACTCAGCCAGGCCCAGTCAAACTCAGCCAGGCCCAGCCAGACCCAGGCAGGCCCAGGCACTAATACACACTTCGCCTTGACAACTGACACAATGGATACTCGCCACGACAGCTGCTATCACTAATCTCCAGCCACTGCTTCCCTCGACCCCCTCTTCCCCCCAAACCCCTCTCCTTTACCCCACAACACACCACCCACTCTCCTCTGCTTCAGATCCTAACTGAGCGTGTACCTACTGCAGAACAAAACCCACCACCTACCCTTGATTCAATTAAACAAAAACCTTATGAAGCACCAACCCAGAGGCCCACCACCAACCTCTTCTGCTGCTAGCATGCAGTGCTCGCATCTTATCGAATCAACCTCCCTCCCATTTCCACTTTACCCTTTTTTAGCCTCCCCACCCGATAGCCCACTCTGCTTCAGGTCAATCTGAGCCTCCACCTGAGCCTCTACCTATGGTGCCACCGACCCCACTATCAAACTGCTTCGCCGCTGCTCCTGCATGCTTTTCTTATGCATCACATACGGCGCACTCGCGTCTTACAAGGCTTCCTCCCACCACCGCTGCCACTGACACAGACCTGCTACTGACCACACACGTCTCTACACCCATTCCATCCGCGGCTTGGCTCCCCTTCTTCCCTTCACCTCCTCCTTTCACCTCCTCTCTTCACGGCCAGCCGCCCTTCACCGCTTCCCAAAGAAGTATCCAAACAACGTCTTCTTCTGTGGCGCCGCCGCAGCAGCAGCCGCCGCTCCTTTCTTCTCATGCCCCTTACTCGCCCCACCACCACCACCACCACCCTTAGCACCACCAGCAGCACCAGCAGCAGGCGGAGCAGCATCCGCATCCTTCTCCCCCTTGGTCTGCTCCGCGAATTTCTTCAGCATCGGCAGCACAACCGTCTCCAGATCCGGCCGGTTCGTCCTGTCCCGGCACTTGAGTGCCACCTCAGCAACCTCCTTCGCGATCTCCGGGTTCCAGTCAACCGTCTTATCCAAATGATCCAGAATCCCTTCCAGCCCGAATTTCGCAAACTCAAGCACCTTATTCACCTTCTCTCCGGTCAACAACTGCAGGATGACCAGCCCGAGCCCGTATAGATCCGACTGCGGGCCGTATTTCCCGGTGCGAAGCAGCAACGGGTCGATGTAACCCACCGTTCCCCAGATCGACGAGTCGTTTGCGGGGAGAAATTTCGCCAGACCGACTCCGCCGACTTTACAGGAGAGGTCCTCGTTCAGCATGACGTTCCCGGGCTTCACATCCTGGTGGAGAATCGGCGGCTCGAGATGGTGGAGGAACAGCAGCGCTTCTGACGCCTCCGCCGCGATCCGCAGCCGGTGCTTCTGCTTCATCGTTTTCCGCCCCCCCTCCGTCAGCAGACGGTCCTCCAGGGTCCCCCCAGGGAGCGACTCGTACACGATACAGCGTGCCTCGGGATTGTATCCGAGGAGCTTGACCAGATGCGGGTGGTCCGCGCGCGTGAGGATGGTCACTTCGCGGGTGAATTTCTCCGCGGCTTGGCGGGTGTTATCGGGGTTCAGCTTCATTACAAGCACCGGGGAGCCGTCCGCGAGCTTTCCGCGGTACCCCGTGCCGAAGCCGCCGCGACCGAGAGAGTTTTCTCGCGAGTAGTTATTCGTGGCCTCGTCGAGCTCCTCTCCTGAGAACGTCTTTAAAACGGCATCGCTCCCCATCGTGATCGTCTGCTGCTGCTACTGCTGTTGGTGACGGTTTTCCCTAACAAACAAAAATACCGTTTGGTGCTGAAGTTGCAATCATCCCCACATCTTACGGCTTCTATCGCAGTTTTTTATGACCCGGAAGGTGGACATCAGGCAGTGCTACACAGCTGGCTGTTCTGAGTCTGTTGGCACAAACAGCTGGTTCCAGTGAAACAGCTATAGTCGCTAGTCCGATAGCTTCACGCCTTCGCCTTGATCAAGCGGCGAAACTGGTGGGAGTCGGGAAAGAATCATCAGGGCGATCAAGAGTATAAGGCGTGGAGCAGTACACTTTTTCAAAATAAGTGATGGATAATGAAGTGACACCCAATGCCATTTGAGACAGGTAGAATAGGACGCATAAGGTAATTACGGCAGTTACGAAGTATTATACAGATAATGCGCACCAGGATCGGTACACTAACGTTATGCTTGGTCACAGCTAGCGACGGTACAATGCTGGCGGGGAAACGACAATAGCTAAGGTGGGCGATGTGTGGAAGGATGACACGAGAAAGTGAAGGAACTGCACATGTATTGAGCTCACCCAAGAGCGCTGGCTGGAGTACAACTTCGGAAAGCAGGGAGGGCTCAACGAGGAAAGAAGGGGAGTCCAATGCCTAACAGCATTTGCGGCCTTGTTCGAAAAACTGGAAGTTTAAATTGAGCGAGGAAAACCAAGGGGCTGCCGTCAGTCACGGAGAGGCTCAACGACAACCTTTTCTTGCAGCTTTCTAACCACCCACTCAGTCTCTATTTCACTCTTCGCTTCAACCTGCTTCAACTGCTGGATGGATGCCTTCTGCTCTGGTTGACTGACTCCTCCCCTGGATGCCTTCTTCTCCCTGATGTAGTCGCAGAGCTGATGCACCCTTCCCCTGATTCTGTTGCGGACGAAGGGGGAGCGAAGCGCAGCTTGGGTGAAGTTGACCAAGCGGAAGTGGTTGCTGGATTGGTTGGAATTGCCATTTTCAGTTTTCTTGCCGCACTGTTGGCTTTTGGATTTTACGGTACTGTGACAGTTCCTGAACTCGGTAGCCCACGAAGGTCTGGTAGATTGCAGATTTGTACTGGCTGAACTACTCTTAGACTCTTAGGCTCGTAATACGTAGCAAACGGAATTGATTATGAATCTGTAAAAATGCGAGTAAGAGAGCAGGACCCTGCCACTGGTTCCGAACTGGCCACTAAAAGGTTTCACAGCGAGGACCAAGAAAGGATATCACGGGCAGCTTACACTGGACGAGCGGGCCAACCTCGAGAGTTCCAGGGACCAGGTGCAGCAGTGGGTCTCTTGGAGGTGATGGGAAGAAAAATGCGGCAGCCAATGAGAAGCTGAGCCACCGCGCAGATGAGGAACTGCCTGCCTGCGCGATTCCGGGAAAGTGCGGAATCTCCAGTGGCTGCAATTCCGCATGGCGGGGCTCCGCTTCGATTTTAGTTCCATTCTCGTGTCCAAGCTACAAGAAGCCGGTTTGCGAAAAAGTGGTACATACAGTATCTTCAAATATTTCCCATATCAATCTTCCCTTCCATTTCATTTCCTATGTTTCCTCCATGCAATTACATCACAACCCCTCCCACTCTCACTCCACGCTTCCTCTACAGAAAGACTATGTTCCTTGTATATCCCTACCAGAACCCTTCCTCTTATAAGTAAGCACCACTACTCAACAATTCACGACATGCATACGCACATTATCCCCAAGTTTGGTATCTAAATACTGTTTATGGTATAGCATACTCCATGCGTGGTGAAGCGAGCAATGTTTCGCTGGCCAGCAGGCAACTGCAAACATTTATTGACTGTATCCTATTCTCTGTAACGCATCAAGCAGGGCTAACTTTAGTAAAATGACCCCGTCTGATGTCAAGACAGGGTCCTGGCTCCTTGTCTGATTGTCAGACGAAAGCTGTAACATTGTCTAGCTTTTCAGACGAATCCTAAATACTTGTCTGAGATTTCTGTGAAGATATAAAGCTAGCAAGCAATATACTATCAAAATATAAATAAGGAAGTCAGGTACCAGCCCTAATGGTCCAGCCTGTAGAAGATTGAGGTTGCCGGTTCAAATCTTGTCTCCTACCTCTGCCAGGCATGTGCATACATCCGTCAAGAGTTTTGCCTTCAGACGAAAAAGACTCGATATCTGCAGTCTCAGACGAACTGTATAAGGCTGTCTGAGAAATCAGATGAATAGAAAAAGCTTCTCTTAAAAATCAGACGAAATTAAACAGCATGTCTACAACATCAGATGACCCAGTAAAAATGTGTTCAGAATCCAGAAATTCAGACCAAAAATGTATGATAAAGTAAGCCCTGGCATCAAGTGTCTCCTTTCGAATCTGCCAGCAGAAGATGGAGAAAGAGAGGGTAAATCTCCAAAAGCCCCAATAACAACAATTCAAAGGAAAAAAGAGTTGTTGAACTGTTACCCCGGATCCTCCAGTCCTGTACATTCCGCCAAGAACCTGCAAACAGCACCTCAAAATAAAGGAATGAACCCACGTAACTTGCCATACCGGTACAGTGGCTACATTATTTGAAGTAGTATATATGATTTTGGAAATGCTAAGTGTACCTTGGTTACAGTGTCGAGCAGGTGACCTGGCCGAACAGGGGCAGAGCCTTTTGATTGTTGAACCTACCAATGCCGATTGCACAAGGAATGCAGTGTGCAAGTGAATCACACACAGAAGGTCTGGGAGCAGTGTGAAATGTCAGCGAACAGAGTGAAGAAACCACGAACCACGGGTTTGATAACAGTGCGAAGATTGATTCTGAAAAATCTCAAAATCAACCTCTAAAAATGTCAGCGAACAGAGTGAAGAGTCCATGAGCCATGGTTTAATGACGGTGTGAAGGGTCTAGGAGCAGAGTGAAGGGTCAAGCTGCTTTCGCCACAAACACGGCATCTATCGCACCAACATGTTTCCTTCAAAACAAGGTGATGTCCGAGCCAAGCATTTAGGAAGCTGCCAAATGCTGCTGCCACGCAAAGCCATGGCTCCTGTATGGGGCTCCAGTGTAAATGTCCGAGCCGAGCATATACTAAGTCAAAGCACACAAAGCTGATTTCCTTCAAGTGCCACACAAAGCACAGCCCACCTTGATGGGGCCATCACTGCCCTTCTTGTACTCGCCCTCCTGCCGCCCCTCCATCACATCGAGTATCCGCTTCTTTAGTGCGTCTGGAGACCGCATCGCTACCAGTGTTGATATGAACCGCACCTGTGTGGAACACATACAAAAAATTGCACGCAGAAGCTGTTTTAAGTCGACTCACAAACTCAGAACGCATTTGTTAGTAAAAAACAGTGCTAAGCTTCTTCCCATGCATCTTCCCCATACCTCCTACCCGTACCTCCTTTCTGCACCTCCTCCCCGTACATCCTCCCCATACCTGCTCCCCGTACCTCCGCCTCGGGGACGTTTTTTAAGCGGCGAACATCGTTGCGAGGGTCTTGAACGCCCCCCGCCATGAGCGTCCGCGCCTCCTCCCTTGCCAACAGCAGGCGGGCCAGCAGGCGGCGGTCCTGAATGGGCAGTTGCTCCTCCATTGACTGGGAGGGACGGGAGAGCGGCGGGAGAGGGGGAAAGAATAAAAGGAGAGTATTATGGATGGAGGGGAGGGGGAAATAGTAAAAGGAGAGTATGACGGATGGAGGGGAGGGGAGAGTTCTGAACGTTCCTGAATGGGCATGGCAGCTGCTCCTTCATGGCCTGGGAGGGAAGGGAGATCGGTGGGACGGACGGTTGGAAGGAGCATGAGCACATACGGTCAGCACAGCACAGCATACTTTCAACCTGGGGATTGATTTTTTTTTTTTTTTTTTAGGCGCCACAAAATCAAAAGAGCATGAGCACTTACAGTCAATCTGGAAATCCACAGCAGCAGCAGAGCAGCACTAAGAACGTATCAGCATGAAAAGTTCACAGCAGCACTCACAGCAACGAGGTTATCTGTCTGAGCAATGATCTCCTCCAGCCTGGCTCCCGGCACATGCACCTCCGGAAGCCCCATGCCCTTGCTGTCCCCGTTTTCCCCAGGATACATGGATTCACCAAAAGGAGAACTTCATGGAAAACCAAGCACTCACAGCAACAAGGTCATCCGCCTGAGCAATGATCACCTCCAGCCTGGCTCCAGGCACCTGCACCTCTGGTGGTTCCAACTTCCATCCCGCCAATGCTGAGTGTGCCTATGCCTTTCTTGCCCATGCCTCTTCTTACCCGTGCCCATGGCACTCACATCAACTAGGTCGTCCGCCTGGGCAATGATCTCCTCCAGCCTCGCTCCCGGCAGCACATGCACCTCCGGTGGTCCCATGCACTTGCTGTCCCCCTTTTCCCCAGACTACATAAAGAAGGACCAGGCACTCACAGCAGCACACTCCGCAGCACTCACAGCAACGAGGTCATCCGCCTGGCCAATAATCTCCTCCAGCCTCACCCCCGGCACATGCACCCCCAGTGGTTCCATGCTGCCCACAGTGTGAGGTGTGCTTCATGGAAAACCTAACACTCACAGCAACAAGGTCGTCCGCCTGGGCAATGATCTCCTCCAGCCTGGCTCCCGGCACATGCACCTCCGGTGGTTCCATGCGGCCCATGCTTATATGCCCATGCCTTTCTTGCCCATGCTATTGTTGCCGTGCCACCCATGGCACTCACAGCAACCAGGTCATCCGCCTGGGCAATGATCTCCTCCAGCCTGGCTCCCGGCACATGCACCTCCAGAGGCCCCATGCCCATGCCATCCAAAAGGATAACTTAAGGGGAAACCAGGCACTCAAAACAACAAGGTCGTCCGCCTGAGCAATGATCTCCTCCAGCCTGGCTCCCGGCACATGCACCTCCGGTGTTTCCATCCCATGCTGCGCATGCCCATGCCCTTAATCCCATGCCGCCCATGATACTCACAGCAACAAGGTCGTCTGCCTGGGCAATAATCTCCTCCAGCCTCGCTCCC